CAAAATGCCAAAATACCTTCAAATATAACAGAAGTCAGGGCTTTTATTGGTCTTATTAATTATTATGGACGTTTTTTCAGAAATCTGAGTCATACTTTATTTCCATTAAATAATTTACTCGAGAATAATGTACCTTTCCATTGGACTAAAATTTGTCAAGAATCGTTTAATAAAATGAAGGAAGACATTTTATCAGATCAAGTCTTAACACATTTCGACCCGACTTTACCAATAATCTTGGCAACAGATGCAAGCTCCTATGCAGTCGGAGCTGTAATATGCCACGTATATCCAGATGGCAGTGAACGTCCTATTCAGTTTGCATCCCAAACACTAAGTACAACCCAACAAAAATACACCCAACTAGATAAGGAGGTATATAGCATTATTTTTGGCATTAAAAAATTTTACTATTTTTTATTTGGTAGAGTTTTTACCTTATACACAGACAGTAAACTTTTAATACATATATTTTCTCCTTCAAAAAGCGTATCCGCATTTACTACAACCAGAATGCAGCATTATTCACTTTTTCTACAATCTTTTCAATATGATATCAAGTACAAAAATACGAAAGATCATGGGAATGCTGACGGCCTGTCTAGATTACCAATTTCATCAACAGGATTCAATATACAAGATGAAGTAGACGTTTTCGAAATCTCCCAAGTAGAAACTTTACCAGTTACTCTTAAAGAATTAGCAGATGAAACTATTAAAGACATGACCCTAAATAAAATTTTAGTAGCTTTGAAATCAGGTAAGAAGTTGGATAGGAAGAATTGCTTACATTCGAATATTTCTGAATTTTCTATTCAAAATGGATGTATTTTTCGAGGTCATCAGGCAGTTATTCCAGGAAATTTACAACGGAAAATTCTGAACGAATTACATGTAGCACATTTTGGCGTAGTTAAAATGAAATCCCTGGCTAGAAGTTATTGTTATTGGCCAAGCATTACGAAAGATATCGAGGATATCGCAAGCAATTGCGCTGAATGTAATAAAATTAAAAATAATCCAGAGCAAGCACCAATACATCCCTGGGAACCAGCAAAAGAACCATTTCAACGAGTTCATATTGATTTTCTGGACCGTTTTTCAATACCTATTATTTTATTTTAGTTGACACGTATTCTAGATGGCCTTAAATACATGCTGTCAAAGATAACAGTACTGCAAACACAATATTGTTGTGTGACAAAATATTCTGTTCTTTTGGTATTCCTAAAGTTATTGTTAGTGATAACGCTTCGGTATTTACATTAGTTAGGGAGACGACCGCAGTTTTCCTACCCCAATCGAGTTATTATGTGCATCTATTAACCTGTATTCCTGCCTGAGAGCAAATGCTGCCGGAAATATCTTTTAACAAATTATTAACAAATTGAAAAAAACGTAACACTACCCCCATCGAGTTATGCCCTAAGTAGGGTATCAGATTGAAGGTCTCGATGTCCCCTATCTAAAAAGTCGATCCTGCCTCGTGAGAACTTGCCGGAAAAGGGTGGCAGGGCAGCTTATTGGAGCAAGGGCCCGCGGTCTCAGCTTTGACACCTATCAAGTTTTACCCTGATTGATGTGTCAAATTAAAGGTGTTAATAAGTTGATTTAAGGTGTCTTCGCACAGAAATCCCAAACCAGAAGGAGTGAATTTCATTGGTTGACACTAGTTTCCTGACTGCTTCCAACCAATGAAATTCGCTCTGACTGGTTTGTGATTTCTGTGCGAACAGACCTTAAATCAACTTATTGACACCTTTAATTTGATACATCATTCAGTGCAAAGCTTAATAGGTGTCAAAGCAGAGACCGCGGGCCCTTGCCCCAATAAGCTGCCCTGCCACCCTTTTCCGGCAAGTTCTCACGAGGCAGGATCGACTTTTTAGATAGGGGACATCGAGACCTTCAATCTGATACCCTTCTTAGGGCATAACTCGATGGGGGTAGTGTTACGTTTTTTTCAATTTGTTAAAAGATATTTCCGGCAGCATTTGCTCTCAGGCAGGAATACAGGTTAATAGATGCACATAATACTATATATTGACAATAGTGTCGACACATAACTCGATCGGGGTAGGAAAAATGCGGTCGTCTCCCAGACTACATCATACAAATTTAAAAATTATTTGAAAGAGAATGGCATTTTTCACAAATTATCTGCACCATATCATCCTGCTACGAATGGGTTAGTAGAAAGATGTGTGCAAAAAATTCTTTACAAGCAATAATTGGGGGTACCGTTATGGATAGACAGAAGCAAGTGAATATATTCTTATTACAATATGGAAAAATTCCTCATTCCATCACCGGTTTAAGTCCGGCTGAATTGTTTTTGGGCAGGAATATTCGAACTAAATTAGATTTGATAGCACCTAACTCAACTGACACTTTTGAATGCTTGAAGAAGACTGGGACTCGTGAATTTGTGAAGGGTGATAGAGTGGCTGTACGTGAATATAATAATTCCAATAACAAGTGGAAATTTGGTATAGTAGATGCAAGAATCGGCAAACTTCATTATCTCATTAAGTTAGACAATAATAAAATTTGGAAACGTCATATAGATCAAATTACCAAAATAGGTGAGTATACACCGTGTCGAGGAAACAATTCTGGAAATTAGGTGTGGATCATTATACGGCCAAGTATAGCTATTTACCTAACAAGTGCGGAAAATGATTTTTTCCGCACGCGGCTGCCGTTCACCGAACGACGCGTAGCGGAGTTCGGTGATGCAGCCGAGTGCGGAAATAGCTATTTATACAATAAGTTACGAAATGAGCGTCTTTTAGGCACGCGACGTGAAAACACGTCGAGTGACTAAAAGACATCGTTTCGTAACGTATTGTGTACAAGATTTTTTCTTAGGCATTTTATAATAAAAAACACAATTTTATTCCATGTGAATAAAGTCGATTACGCCGAAAATATTTGTTACCTGCTTTTGCTTGACACCTGACACTTTTCATGCGATTTTTTTTTCAAGATTCGACATCAATAATTAAAATCCTAGAAAGTAGGTAACAACACAAAGTTCTGTTTTGAATAACCCAAACGTTCAATTCAATAATTACATTTTTAATATTCATAATAAATACAAAACAAAACTAAAATCTGTGTTCAGTGTGTTATTTATTTCTGAATAATGAATGACACTTTTAGGCAATAGTGCTTAAAAATTACTTTTACGCACTCAAAAGTCACTTTTACCCATTCAAAAGTCACTTTTACGCACTGAGTGCTTAAAGGTAACTTTTACGCACTCAGTGCTTAAAAGAATGTCGTTTCAAAACTAAAATGACAATCGAAAAGTTGCTATTATGAAACGTCAGTAGAAAAAATATTTTCCGCAAGTGTTAGGTACAATATTTTTCCTACAGGCGAAAAAATTTAAAATTTTTCTTTTTTTTTTGACATATCAGTGCGGTAAAATTTTTTCCGCACTGACAGCCGTGCGGAAAATCTTTTTCCGCACTGATATGTAAAAAAAAAAGTTTTACCGCACCGTGCGGGAAAACTCATTTTCCGCACGCATATCAGTGCGGAAAATCGATTTTTCCGCACGGCTGAAGGAAAAATCAGTTTCAATTAAATTTTATTATTACAACTATGCGGAGATGTCACGGTAAATTGATATGCGTTTGTGCTTTCGTTATTATTTATATTTGTAATATGTTTTATAAGGAAGGGGGGAAACTGTTGTGTCTCTTTACTTGTTCCATTTTGTATAGAATCGTAACCAGTAATTAAAGTACGGGTATTTATTAAGGTTTTGCTGGTATGATGATTTTAAAGTGGCTATTGAGGACATTATGTCATTATGATTGTCATAAAATATAGATTTTCAATTAAAGTAATTATCCAAACTCTGCATTTGTGAGTATATAACTAACAGGCAAATAATATAAAGTTATTGGAAACCACAGATGACCATACATTTGAAGATGCGGCATATTATTTGAGAAGCTGCATCAAAAACATTGATCCTCATCCTCTCCCTAGCCATTTAACTGCTGACGACATTATTCGAGGAGAATGCGAGATTCCTCAGAAATTATTTGATTTCATGCAAAACATTATTCAAGGGCCCAACGTTTCCGAGGAAAAATCCAACGACTCACGATTAAAATTACAGCCATATGTAGTGACATAATATATGCAATCACGAGGGGAAGATGTAAGTCAGCGAAAAATTCAACTCTTGGACTGGCAGTAAAGTCTCTAACCAACTCTCGGCAAGTTTTAACGATGCTCAATAGACATGGCCATACAATTGGATACAATTTGGCACAAGAACTAGAAACTGAAATGACTTATACGTCGGTCCAAAATAACACCATAATACCAACAGCTATCACTGCAACGAATGGACTCAGTACTCACATTGCTTTCGATAATTTCGACCGCTTCGTTGATACCACTTCCGGAAAAGACACGATGCATGACACAGTTGGGATTATTTATCAATTTTCTAGTGCTGAAACTGATGATCTTGATAATCTTGAAGCTACAACTTCATCAACACTTCCAGTTAATGTCAACAAAGATGAACAAGGACCGTAACGTAGAAGACGACGTTTCGATGAAATTTTGCGAGAGATTCGACCATAATATTCTAAACCGACAGCGAGTTTGCAGCTGCTTACCGTAAATTCGTTCACTAACACAATGGACGTATGCAAATGTGCTACAGAAAAAGCAAGGGATAAAGATTTATTATGGGTAATGTCGTTATCACGAATAGATTCTGTTCCCATGTGGTTGGGTTATCATTGCATGACGTCAGCTGATCACAGTGAACAACAGAAGATCGAGTATTTGCCTCCGATAAATTCTTCTCCAGCGTCTTATGCAATAGTGAATGAAACACTAATCATGGCAAACGAAATCGCTGAAAAATGTCGACAGAAGCAAATAATTGTGACGTATGATCTAGCAATAGCAAAAATGGCGTTGCAAATTTTGATAATATTTTTGTAAATTTGGGAGCGTTTCACATGGAAATGGCATTTTTCAAGGTGGCCGGGAAATTTAATGACGGCAGTGGATTAGTGGACATACTGGTTCAAGCAGAAGCATTAGCCGGTGGCTCGATGAATAGCTTCTTAGACAGCAAACATTTCAATCGTTGTCGGCGCTTACACCCATTAACCGCTGCTGCATTGCAAATACTACATTTTCAGCAATATTTATCTTCGAATATTACATCTCCCGAGGCGATGGATCAATTCTTACAAGCGCAAATACAAAATGCATCAAATTCTACGTATGACGTCAACGAGATAATAGAATTGCCGGATACATTAAATCGCATTTTGATTGGATATAAAGAATTCTGCAGACAAACTTTGCTGGGTGAAAAAGGAAAAACTGCTCAATTCTACTATCAGTATTGTGAGTTAATTAATTTATTTCTTCGGTTTTCAAGAAGCATCCGCACAAGTATTTTTAACATGGCTGATTTCTTTTTCGCACTTAACCAGCCCAATTATGCCCGATGGACCCTACTATACTTGAGTAATTTAATCAAATTGTACAATGAAAATTCGCCTTTGGTAGCAGAATTTCGTCGAGGCGCTTTTGGAATCAGAAGAACCAAAGCTAATTTCGCTCGATCACCAGTTGACTTGACGCTCGAACAGACCATCAATGCTGATGCTAGCAATCAGTTGATTGATAACCTTGCCGTAAGCTCAATATCTGCGCGTCAAAGATGGGCACTCAGCTACAGCACAATCAAAGAAAACATCGGATTAACAAAGAAAGATGATACTTCACACTCTTTGCAAAAAAGCAATATTAAAAAAGACAAAAAAAGCCTGGACAACATTATTGAGGCAATGAAAAATACGATGACAATTGATGAAAATTTTTTATTCAATATTTCGACTGGTAAAGCCGCATCAGGAGATGATTAATGTCAAGATAACCGGCAATCAACAAAAGCTAAATTTTATTTCAGATTGTTCTCTAACAACTGAACGATTCGAGAAACCCATTAAATAGAACAAAATCGTAAATTTCGCTTCCCAGTGCACCACTAAAGTTCTAATGAACAAAAATAAAAATAATAAGGTGTTTCTGAAAATGGAGCGAGACATTTTTGGACGACTCCTAGAAGCTAGTCTAGACAAGAAAATTAACCTAGAACATTGCTTGACTTTTCCACTAGCACCAATGCCGCCTGCACTTTTCTCCAGTGCTGGTGAAATGGTAAAAACTGCCAGCGAAAACTTTGAAATCTCAAACCGAAATGGTTGAGCCCACAAATATTGACGTAGAAATAATAGATGGTTTTTACTACTTGCACTTAATCGGATCCTCCATGACACAAACATTTGAAAAAGTTGCAGAGTCAATACTCATTAAAAGTAGGAGGCACGATTAACATTGAAAATAGGCCCCCGTAAATTTCAACCAAATTTCAATATTTTAAAGGTATCATCATTGCCAAAAAAAATTTGAAATGTGAAGAGGATCGTATGTCTGTGATAGCAGATATAGCTTGTCAAAGTACCTAGGTCCTGCTATGCTATGCATAAGAAATATCCGAGGAAATATCCCTACGTAGATTTTCTTGAACATTTCGAAAAATTCTAATCCGATTTTGACATTTATGGGGTCATTTTGTAGGTATGTATTTTAGCAAGCAATGTATCTAAGTTCAAATATTTCAATACAGGGTGTTGAAGTAATTGTATATTTTGATAAAATCTTGAAATCAAAAAATAATGTTAAATACAACAATAAACCTTCATAATGTTAACTGCTCTGAGAGCATGTTTTAAAAAATATTATACAGGGTGTTGTCCTAATCAAACCTATTTTTAATTTTCTAATTAAATTATTTGGGGCAGCATGTTCCTCTCAGCAGCATCATTTATTTCATTGATAATATTATCTTGTGGATAACTAATGTGTTGTTGGTGTCTGGCATATCCTAAAAACCATAGTACACAAGCCACGTGACAACAGGTACCAACCGTTCTGGCCCCAGAACGACACGTGCAATAATATCCAGATATTTGAATATTTGGATCTTGATCATATGTTATGGCCAGCTGGTACTTGGTAGTGTTGCGATGACGGGAGTTTTTTCTAATTCTCAAAAAATTTTGGATATTTAGGCGTCTATCTATTTCGAAGTTTAAATCTCCAAACTCCTGGGCGTTATCGTGAACATAGGATGGAGCCATAGTAATTTGAAAAGTGTCAAAAGTAAGGTTTCTCAAAAAGTCTAAAGTAAGAACAGGAAAATCAGCCATTTCCTCATGTTCTATTGCTTGCCAGTTAGCATGGCGTCTGAATAAGCCTTCATTTTCTATCCTTTGCTGTAAGTGGTTTGGTTGTCGAGCTCTTGCTAGCATTTGCTCTGCTCGCTCGGGAGTATTATTTTCACAATGAATCGTCGGATGATATCTGTTTATAAGAGCGCAAGCCACTTTTAAAAATTGGCCTAAACGGGGCAAAACCTGTTTGGAAATGTATTTTTAAACAGTTTAAAAATATTTTTCAAGTGGCCATTACGCGTTTCTATTACAAATCTAGATTTAGTCACCAATCTGGACTTATTGGCTTCTTCAACAGGTAATTGGGGTCTACGTCCTAGGTGTGCAGGCATTTCGATTTCAATACCAATATCTCTTAAAAATTCTTCGGCATCCCTGTAACCTCGGTCTAATACAAAAATGTCACCTTCTTCAAACCAGTCTCTTATTTCAGCCACATTTTGATTAAATTCGTGTAAAAGAGTAACTGCATCGTTGTTACGACTGTCTGAAAAGTATGGACCATGCATGGCCAAAATGTATCCATCAGGGGCGCATAATATTGTCGGTTTCAGAAGGTGATATTGTTTGTGGACAGAAAATGATCGCCGAAGTACTTGAAAGTTCCGACTTTTCTCAATTTTGATATATGTAGCATCTATCACACATATAGCCTTGCGAATCTCAGGTGTTTCGTTATACAAAATGTTATGAAATTCGCTTACGTGATTATTTATATATTCTTCCCTCGCTAGATGCCCATATCCCAAATTCATCGGTACAATATTGGTATCTAAAGATATTAATACCTTGTCAACTATACTACTTACTAACTGCCTGGAAGAATAGCCAAACATAGCCATTAGGAATGTGTCTGAGAGTCCCTGACGAAGTTTGCATATAAATAAAATTAAATCAATCTTTTTTATTTTCCTATTCCAGTTGTTATGTTGCACTGGATGGCAGTGTTGATATAGATCTTGAAATTGTTCTTTAGTTAATGAAGTTAAGGCCGCAAATTCTTCATCTGAGAAGTTTTCTTCACTATCTATCCGAGACCGATTGCACTCTTCTCTTAAATGTCCCAAGAAATTAGCTAGCTCAACACCTTTCAGATCGTATGGTCGTTTTATTGCTTGTAAACCATTTAGGAGGGGTTGAAGTACATGCCATTTTGAATCTAAATGCGCATTGCATACTTTTGAGTGAGGCGGAACAAAAATTCCTGATTTAATAAAAACATCAATTCGGAGCGCTAATGTCACGTGATCAATTTCATATTCATTGAAACATACCAGACAATATCTTCCACTATTTTTAAAAAGTACCTTTAAGACTGTTGGGTCGTCATCGGCTTGGTATGCCTGGATCTCTTGTAAGACACTGGTGTTGCAGTTTAGACAAAGCCTCGATTGGTTATTGACCTCTTCTTCAGGGCGCTCCAGTTCCACACGACACCGCTTGGATATTTGAATTTTTTCTTCTCCGATCAACCTGACTAACATGTTTGCCCGAAAGGGATCATTACATATAAAGCAACGAAGTCGAAAAGCCATAATTATAAATAACTGACATATCAGAGTAAATGTGAAAAGTCAAACTAAGTTTGTTGAAACAACTGCGTTGACAACCTCAAATATTTAATCCAAGGCCTACCTAAGTATAAACATTTCCCAATTAATCAGATGGTTAATTTAACACCCTGATTAACAATTATCAAGACGTTGTTATTAGGTCTGTTTCTGCAGAAATCACAAACCAGTCAGAGCGATTTTCATTGGTTGAAAACAGTCAGAAACAGTCAGAAAACTAGTTTCAACCAATGAAATTCACTCTGACTGGTTTGTGATTGCTGCAGAAACAGACCTAATATTTCAATCGTCGCAGTGCAATAACATAACGGCTGTGTTAGGAAAATCGGAAATTCACAGATTTCGCAATCCTTGCAACCATCGGAGACATGGAAAAAGATTCCTATTCAACAAATAATATATATTTATCTACGTCGTGCTACGCACTCGTTGTGTAACTTCCACCAGTTATCCTAACTCACTTGTATCGTAAATATTTATTATTTTATTGAAATCCTCATTCAATAGAACAAACGCTATGATTTTTGTCCCATTTTCCCATAATCTCCATATTAAAATTTTTTTTTCTCAATTTTGACAGCCCATATAACGATATAACCCTTGCCGCATGCTGCTGTTTGCCGACAAGGCGCAAGTACTGCGCCCACTTCGACACGCTTCGGGTTATTTCACCGCATGCCCTTGGCGACACCGCCGTCTTTTGGCGAGACCATAAACATTTCCAATGTAAAAAAAATTGATATAATTTTATTTATGTGCAAACTTTGTCAGGGACTCTCAGACACATCTTAATGGCTATGTTTGGCTATTCTTCCAGGCAGTTAGTAAGTACAGCACAGTTGTCAAGGTATCAATCTCTTCAGATACCTACCAATATTGTACCGATGAATTTGGGATATGGGCATCTAGCGAGGAAATCTATAAATAATCACGAAAGCGAATTTTATAACATTTTGTATAACGAAACACCTACAATTCTCGAGGCAATATGAGTGATAGACGCTACATATATCAAAATTGAGAAAAGTCGCAATTTTCAAGTACTTCAGCGATCATTTTCTATCCACAAACAATATCATCTTCTGGAACCGACGATATTATGTGCCCCTTGTGCAAAACCACATATTGGAAGATAAATAACTTGATAATTAGTGGACTGTATAATTAGGTGGACTGGATGATCGACTGGATAGGGAACTAAAACACACGCGCTTTTCACTGACACTATATTTACAACAATTTACACAATATTTACACTATTTACAATTACTACTACAAGATGACAAGAAGCCAGAGCTTGCTTAGATGCCCAACAGGGCAGAGCTAGATTATAAAATGTATTAAAATGTGAAAAGGTTTCTGGATGCTTGTTAACGTGGACAAGCTCCAAGCTACACTGCTGCAATGACAAAAATGGCGCGCAATATATTGACAGACATGACAAAATAGACATGACGACAACGCTGCAGTGTTGCAAACTTTATATGTATAAAAATATTTTGCCATCAAAAAGAGATAGCATGATTGTTGGAACATGTTTCCAACATGCTGGGGGGCCTAGAGTTTCACATGAAACCAAGGTAAAATTTTCCAGCAAAAAAAAATAAAAAAAGTAAAGAGAAAGTAAGCAACCCTTTTTTTAAAAAAAGGCATGATTTCAATGATGATCCAGTAAACGAAAACTTAACTAACAATTAAAGCTAAAAACATTTCTGGAACACATAGTATGACATTATGTATGTATATACGAGTATAGCTAATTGAATATAAATATAAATCTAAATGTTTTACAAATATATGTACAGAATTTTGTGAATAATTTTCAAAAATATTATTAACAATTATTGTCATCAATCGGTAACACTGCAATCTTGGTAACCGATCTGAGATAAATACCTTTTTTGGTTTTCACTTCGACAACCCTTACTTTGCCGTCCTTTCCAGGTATTGCTTTAACTATTCTTGCCATTGGCCACTTATAAGAAGGTACATTATCCTCTTTTAAAATGACTAACAAGCCCTCCCTAAGGTTAGGCATCTCATCACGCCATTTTGGCC